ATTTATTTGTAAATATAAAATAGTTTTTTTAAAAATAAAAACCAAACCAAATTATCAGTTACTTTATTTACACTGTATTATATTTATATTAATATACCAGTATACTTTATGCCGGCAGTACATATTTAGGCTAAGTGAGGTAGTGAGGTAGTGTGAGTGCACGCAGTACACATGCAGCGAGGCTTTGTAAGTCACTCGCATTTTTGTGTTCAGTACTTCAGTTTTGACTTTTGAATGAACATGGACGTTGTTGAGGTTGCTGCTGCTACAGTGTATTGTGCATTTGCATATTATAATTACGTTAACATTTTTTGCAAAAAGAAAATTAAGAAGCCATGGAAAAAAAGAAGATGGTGGATAAAAAATATTCATTGAAATAGAACAACGTAAGTATCCGAAAATATAGCAAAAAGTATATTTTAGTTTTATTTAATACACATTTTTCCTATTTATCAATAAGGTTTATATATCCGGTAATAATATTTATCGTACAAACTATCAATCTCTTTGATAAATTCTTTTCGCTCACGTTCTGGCAGTTTTCTTATATTTTTCATTATTGATTTAGCAAACAGATCATATTCATCATCTTCTTCGTCAACAGTTCTTTTGGTAATTACATTTTTTACCATGCCAAATGCTTCCTTTGTTTGGTTTCCCGCTTCTTGAAGCTCAGGAGGGTTACTGCTACGTCGAAACGTTGGCGTTGGTCGTGGTGTTGTGTTTGGTTGCTCGGGAACTACTGTACTCGTATGCTCCATATTTTCAGTTACCATACTTTGATTTTCTTCAATGTATAAAGAGCTGATTTCTTCACTTTGACTTTGTTCGTCAGATGCAAAAGACTAAACAAAACCAAAAAAAATATCAAGTACCGCGTTAAGTTTCTTTTACAGATGCCGTCCACAAAAGACAAATGGCTAATTGTAGAAAAAAGGATTCAGTGGAAACTTTCCGCATGCCTTCGGGGCAATTGATGGAAAACACATACAATGTCCATATCAGACAGGATCGGAGTATTTTAATTACAAAAAAACTCTCAGCATCGTCCTTTTAGCCGTAGTTGACAGTAATTATCAATTTATTTTCGCCGTCATCGGCAGCCAAGGAAGGATTAGTGATGCCGGCGTATTACGAAATAGTGTTTTATGGGAGAGAATTTCGGAAAATAATTTGAATTTGCTGACACCATACCTATTGTCTGGATCAGACGAACCCTTGCCTTATGTTTTTTTAAGTGATTGTGATTTTGTACGCGCATTATGAAGCCTTATCAGGGAAATCATGAATATGGACCTAAGAAATGATTATTTAATGAAAAATTATCCAGTTCACGAGTGTTAGTTGAAAACACGTTTGGGATATTAACTTCGAGATTTCGAATATTTAGAAAACCAATTGCATGAAATACAGAAAGAGTAACACTTTTAACTATGACATGCATATTACTACACAATTTTATCAGAAAAAAATAATTCCAAACAAATTTATGCTCCACCGGGGACATTTGATACGTATGTTGATAATGGTACTTTAATTCAAGAGAGATCATGGAGACTGGACGTACAGGATTCTTGCGCAATTAGGCCTTTGTTAGTAGTATCTCGTCGACCAACAACGAATGCTATCAAGATAAGATAAGCTTTTACTACATACTTTTACGATAATATATAATATAAAAAAATAGTATATTAATTGTAATTAACTGAATGTATTATTATATAATAAATTGAGTTATAAAAAATTATAAATTAAATTATTTTTGAATTTTAACAACTTGACTGCCATGAGAGCCAAATTTGGATCTCAGTAGATTTTCCTAAAATGCCACGATATTTTACTTGAACTTGTCAAAATAACAAAGAAATCTAATTTTATTAGAAATTTCTGAATCTTTGTACAGCCTTTAAGAAGGAATACATCATTTATTGTAGGTACTTACTGTAACTTGAGTATCTATAGTTTTCTGGCATCTGTAAACTGGTCCTAGAGAAGACTCCATATATTCATAAGCAAACCATGTTGGCTTATAAATATCATTTACACCGGATCCTGATCCGGTCAAAGATTTTTTTTTACGCAAATGGCCCCTAAACGTAGCCATGAGCGATTGTTTTTTTTCCTTTAATTCGGTTACGGGATATTCCAGGTGTCCTCTCAATCGAACCCATGCATCTTTGACTATTTTTCTATCTCTGTGGTACGGATGCATCGGGTCCCAAATAACGCGTTCATTTCGGCAGAACTCCAAAAATTTTAATGTAAATTCATTATACCAATCACACATGACGAAAAGCAAAACGAAATAAATAACAACGAATATGCGAGAATGCGAGAATGCGCGAATGTGAACTGGATGCTCTCGTGCTAGCGTCTCGACTGGCCCCGTGCACAAAAAACCGCCTCGGGAGCGAGCGCCGCCGTGACGGGGTGAGATAAGGCGAAGCCTCACGAGCGCACCTAGTTCACTCTCGCGGTGTCTCGGCGTTTGTGTACTGCGGGCATTATAAACAGATTTTCATTTAATTTATGACGATGCGCAATCATTTGTAATTTACAGTAATATTATATTCCTGATTACGGGTTAACGGCCAATCATATCACATTTCTCCTTATCACTCAAAACGTCGGCCCGCGGCGACGTGTGTCACGAACGTCTCGGCGCTCCGCTGCCTAGTTTGTTGTTTGTCCATTTTTCACTTCGTGTCTAGACCTCGTTATCAAACGGTTACTTAATACAGTTTTCTTTGCTAAAACACTCCCGTGCTGTGCGGGTTGGCATATTTTCTGCCAATAAGAAAGGTCGTATACCTTGGCATGTTTCCTGTCCTGATGGTGCCTCAAACGAACTGATGGAGTGAGTCCCGATCTGGACATCCCCGAGATGATTGGTAATATATATGTAGTGTAATAATTGGCCGATACCCCGTTTAGTTATGTAGTTTTAAGTTAGTTTGGTTAATGTCCTCCGTTTAAATACTTTGTTTAAAATGTTTTTTTTTTCTCTCGAACAATCGTTTGTTCAATATCATGTACACACTTCCCGACACAATAGCATCCGGTTTGTATACGCGTCCTACGGTCCGCGTTGTGTATGTTAAAGACGTGTATGATATATTTTGTCTATGTTAAATTCTTCCGTTATACCAACGGGGGTCAACCAGCGTTTATTAAGTTTGTGCGTCCGTCTCAGTGTAGTAATCCCCGCGTTCCACATCCTATGTGCAATAGGCCAAAACTCATCCGCATTTCGTTTCTTTATTTTTCGCATTCCCTTTTAGGAACTCAGCTTCACAACCACGTGTGTGTGTGTGCGTATTTAAAAAATCTATATAATAATCGATGATTTCTCCATCTCGCGATCCGTGTTCGGACGCACCCCGCAGGGCCACCATAACCACGGACCAATCAATCTGGAATAAAAGATTTCAGCTACCCTTCCCGGTTGTAATATGTGGTGATCTGGCAAACATCACATCACTGCTGTGGGTCTCCCAAAATATTTACTTTGTGTACACGAAATTCCACGCGAAGGTCCGTCTCTGAATATTTATGTATCGATCTGCGCGCGCGTGAATGCGAGTCCGTTATTATTGATAACTAGTAGTAAGTCCCGGCCTGCACGCTCCCATTATATCCGTACATGCGTCCGGACCACAAGTTTTAAGAACATTTGACGCCCCAGTCACCCTCTATACGTATACATTTAATACATTTTATTCATATATATATCTATCATTTTGTGTATACAAACCTATGTACCTATGTTAAAATCGTACCTATTTATTTATGTATTTATATTCAGTTTGATGATGTTCCGTTGAAATAGGTACGATTTATAATTTTTTTTTTTTTTTTCATTTAGTTTGAATTGTGTACAAACACATACCTATATTTTCCCCGTTATATAATTATTCCCCAATAACGTAATCACGTGTATACGTATGTTTCTCAAAGTCATCGCACGGGTTATCGGCCACAATGTTACTTTCCCAAGAATATTTTGTTGTTGTTTTTAATTCTTTGCAGGAAGTGCGGTTCTATTCTTGTATTATTTAATACGCCGGTACTTTGACGGTCGGCGAATCCAAAGATTGCGATCGCATGTTTCGTTCCCAATCAACATTTTCGTCAACGGCATGCAGGCCCAGTCCCATGGTCAGCTACGGCAACACGACAATAACATATCCGTCGCCCGCCGCCGTAATTATTATTAATTAAGATAGGATTATTGTTGTGCGCGCATTGTGTGTACCTGTACTTAATATCTCTATTTTTCCCATTATTACAGTGACTTGAACGGTCACAGTTTATTACGTATTCTTGTTATTTATATATTGACAAATCAATACCCATTTAATAATCGCCCGAACTGCGATCGAATATTATATAATTCCTTTTGCTAAATATTTTTTCCCCTTAGTGTCTTTGATAATTATCATTATTTATTTTATTCGTGGCACATTAGGTCACCTCCTCTTTCAGCAGGCGGGAAATAAATCACTCAACACACGGTATGTTATGGTAGGGAGTTTTTTTTTCTTGTTATTGTTATGGTGTGGAGAGTTTTTTTATCCTGTATATGTATGGCTACCAATTGTAAATCCCATCTACCGGTTGATATTTTTTTTTTTTTTTTTTTCTGCCTCCCTTGGGAGTATGGCCTTCGTCTTTATGGATCCCCAGCCCCCGATTCACCTGTATGATGAGTGGTTGTAATGGTAGGGAGTTAGTTTTTTTTTTTTTGTTGTGTTCGATGTTTCAGTCCTTGGGATGAACGAGAATAGCAGCATTGCGATGGTAGGAGAGGTAGTTATAGTTAGTGAAAAAGACTACAATCAGTCAGTTTCTGACCGTTAATATTTTATTTTAATGCAGCGTCATTAAGTGTATACCTACACATTTTTTTTTTTTTTTTTTTTAGGTTTNATGCTTCTTTCAACATACTTCCATCAGCCCGCCATACATGGCCTGCCCATTCTATCCTTGTCCCTCTGGTGAATTGGACCACATCTTCTCTTTTGTACAGCTGGTATAGTTGGGCGTTTGTTCTTATTTCCCATTTCTGTTCTGTATTGTTGAATACGGGTCCATAAATTTTTCTAAGAACTTTTCTTTCAAATAACCGTAGTTTTTCATCATCGCCTCTCGTCGTTGCCCATGTGGCACATGCATATGTCAATATAGGGCGGATGTAACTAATGTATAGATGTTCTTTTGTTTTTCTTGACAGCAGCTTAGATTTAAAGAGGGTTTTCAGTGCATAAAGGCATCGGTTAGCAGCGCCCAATCTAATATTGATCTCACCATGCATGTTGTTTTGGTTATTTAGGGTAGACCCAAGGTACTTGAACTCTTGTACTTCTTCAAAGGTGTTATTTCCCACGTGGAGGTTATTATGGTCACCCCCTCCTCGCTTTACCATAATGTATTTAGTTTTTCCACTGTTTATGGTTAAGCCAATATCTTTTCCTATCTTTATCAGTTCTTCAACAGTATTCTGAATACCTTCTCGTGAATTCCCAATAACCACTATGTCGTCTGCATATGCTAGTAAGATATTTCCTTCGTCAAGGTTTAATGTCTCAGTTCGCAGTACCTTTCTTATTACACTCTCCAGTGCCATATTGAAAAGCACTGGTGACATCGCATCCCCTTGCTTTAATCCACTATTTGTTATAAACGAAGATGATATTGTTCACCTTGACTCGGCTACTGGTATTCGTGTTACACAGTTTTATCATGTTGATTAATTTAGTTGGTAAACCAAAGTCTTTAAGAACTTTCCATAGTTTTCCTCTAATTATGCTATCATATGCTTGTTTGTAATCTACAAAAACCATATGTAGATCTTTCGCGAACTCATAACTTTTTTCCATAATTTGTCTTATGACAAATATGTGATCAGTAGTTGATTTATTTTTTCTAAATCCGCTTTGGTAGTTACCTACTATCTCATCTGTATAAATTTGCAATCTTTTAAGTATGATTAATGATAATACCTTATACCCAGTGTTCAAGAGTGTTATTCCTCTATAATTCTCTACTTTTTTTCGGTTACCTTTTTTGAAAATTGGACATATCAATGATTCATTCCAGTCTTGTGGTATCTTTTCCTTTATCCATATCTGTTGAATTAGATGATGTAATTTTTGTGTTAGGTTTTTCCCTCCTAACTTCAATAATTCAGCTACAATTTTATCATCTCCTGGTGACTTATTATTTTTTTGAGTCTGGATTGCATACTGTGTCTCTTCTAAACTTGGGTTTAATACTTCTGGTTCTGCTGTATAATGTATGGTGTCGTCTTGTTCGCCTACTTCTTCCGTTGTTGAGCCTCTGTTAAGGAGTTTCTTAAAGTACATTCTAAATTCCTCGGCCATGTTTTCCGATCTAGTAATTAGAGCACCATTATTATCTTCTATCATCTGTATAGCTGGTATAAATCCATTTTTAAATGTTTTGCAACGTTTGAAGAATTCTCTGGGGTTGTGTTTGAAGTTTTCAATCTCCCCTAATCTTTCTTTTTCCGCTATTCTCTTTTCTTTTCTTATCAGTGTAGTTACTTCTCTTCGTTTGTTCTCGAAATCCCTTATGTTCTCGGAGGTTGGTGTATGGATTGCTTTGATTCTGGCTTCATTGCGTTCCTTGATTCCTTTCTTGCAATTATCATTAAACCATTTCTTTGTTTTCTTTCTTTGTGTGTGTTGAATGACTTTTTCTGCGGATTCCATTATTGAGGCTTTAATTACTTTCCACGACTCCTCAATCTGTTCATTATCACTGTCCTCTCTTTTTCCCAAGAAATTTGTCACTGTTTCTTGAAATGTCTGTAATGTTTCTTCATTTTTTAATTTATCCACATCGTATTTTCCGAGGATTTTTTGTTTCTTTTTCCATTCCATGGACATCTTTACTCTGAAGTCAATCAGGATCAAGTAATGGTCTGTGTCTGCGTCTGCTCCTCTGTAGCTTTTGACGTTTCTTATANGGCTACTATATCTTCCTCCTGGAGATAACCACGTTTCTTTATGAATATTTTTCCTTGGGAATCTTGTACTGCTTATTACCATATTTTTACTTATTGCAAAATTAATTAACCTTATTCCGTTATCATTACTTCGGTCGTGTAGACTATGTTTTCCAATAGTCGCTTTGTATGCATTTTCTTTTCCCACTTGGGCGTTCATATCTCCCAATAATAATTTAATTCAATGATCTGGTAAAGCGTCATATACTTGTTCCAATTCTTCATAAAAGGCGTCTTTTGTTTCTTCATTTCCTGATTCGGTTGGTGCGTATGCGCAAATCATTACCATGTCCCGGTGGTTCATATTGATCCGAATGTAACATATTCGGTCATTTATAGCCTTAAATTGTTTAATCCATGGTATTNGTATTAGACTATTGTGCACGAGGAAACCCACCCCATTTTCATGCTTATTAGACGTTATACCGCCATAGAATAATGTCATGTTACCTGTTGGTAGACATCCTTCACCTTGCCATCTCGTTTCTTGTAACGCTACTATATTTACCTTATATCTATTGCATCAACTAGTGTACCAAGGGCTCCTGCTTTATATAACGTTCTTATGTTCCATGTGCCAATCCTAAATCCTTGTAGTCCGGGCCGTTTCCATTGTGTTTTATCCAAATCTCTGTCCCGAGGCTTTAGTTTTGGTTTCTTAACAGTNAGACGTTATACCGCCATAGAATAATGTCATGTTACCTGTTGGTAGACATCCTTCACCTTGCCATCTCGTTTCTTGTAACGCTACTATATTTACCTTATCCCATATATTACCATCAACTAGTGTACCAAGGGCTCCTGCTTTATATAACGTTCTTACGTTCCATGTGCCAATCCTAAATCCTTGTAGTCCAGGCCGTTTCCATTGTGTTTTATCCAAATCTCTGTCCCGAGGCTTTAGTTTTGGTTTCTTAACAATAGAGTTTTTTTACAGTGACGGGTTGTTAGCCCGTCGCCAAACCCCCCACCTGGAGGACTAGACTGAGCCAACCAGTTAAGGTCAGCTCAGAGCTCGGGGCCCCGGGTTCGCCAAACCCGTAGTGCTAATTACTTAGCACCCCCCTGAGGGGATTTTCAAATATTATGAAAAAAAAATCGAAAAAAAAAATAACCTCTTTAAAGTACCACTCTAGTCGAAATTTTTTTTAGAAAAATTGCTCTTTTGGATCTAATTTATTTATTTTTTTAAAATGTTATTCAGTAGCAAAGTACTTTTAGGGGAGTTTACATTTGCCCAGCTTGACAGCTAAATTTGCTTATTATTAATTACGTATATAGGCTTCTGAAATATATAGCGCATCAAAAAAGCTGGGTCTAACAATTTAACCATAATATTGATATTATTACATTAATATCTGGCTAAAATAATACTAAAAATACGGTATCACAGTTACCAATAGGGTAAAGAGCGAACGACACACATTATAATAACTCATATTATTTTTGAAATATTATTACGGTATTTATATAATTTATATTTGTATGATTGCCTGAACAATTTCAAAATAATGGACCATTCTTTGAAGTGTATATCTCCGTTTAGATTGTTCAAATTTGTGAAACGGTGCAACAAATGCAACGGCAAGCTTAATTTACCGTGGCAAAAATTAAAAAAATGTCGCAGTGAGTATATTGAAATATTGTTTGTTATTTGTTTGGTCGTCGTCCGAGTGCCGATTAAAACCATCCTCAGAAAACTACCTTCAGGCCCCGGGTTCGCCAAACCCGTAGTGCTAATTACTTAGCACCCCCCTGAGGGTGTATACCTACACATTTAATAATTTTTTTATTGTTCCCCTGTAACCTTTGTCAATATATCCATGTACCTTTAAATTGGACTGACAGGCCCGTACACACATTTGCGTTTAGCAGTTAAGAAGTCCATACCAATGTACCTTATGAGTCTTACGTATTTAAACAAACCGATTCCTTCCCGTCGATAAAAATAGAAATACGTCACATGCCTATGCATCCGTTTTACCGTGTCCGAGTACACAAAGTAGGTATCGGTGAAGAATACCCCGATCTTTACATATTTTATTTCCCCACATTCATATATCACTTCCCATATTCACCCCTAACTAAGAGATATCCAATTCAATTTTTTTTTTCTAATATATATATATATGTATACCCTTCCCGTAGAAAGAACATAGTTACACCGGTATTAACTGGGTAATTTCTTGTAGGCAGTTAGTTTTTATTTTGTTCTCGATATATATATTTGCCTTGGTAGGTTAGTTTGATTAGTTTAGTTCACCCATTTATCTGGGATGTTTTCACATCCATTTGTAGTATTAGATAGTTCAGTTTATTTTTTTTTTCTCTATAGAAGTATTGTGCCCTTTTAATATTACCAAACCATGTTAGTCCCCGAGATGTTCCGCCAAACAGACCACCCTTATATATATATATAAATATACAATTGTTTGAATTGAGTTTTGATCCGCTTTTACCAATTCAAAAATCTTGTTGATATCTATCTTATATACTTACTGTAAAGGCATTTTTGTTTTGTTATCTAGATATTACCTTATTTATTTATTTTATTTTCCCAAATTCATAGAACCGTATGGTTCCATAAAATTAGTATACCTTGTCCATGTCAACTTCCGCAGGCCAATACTCAAAGGATAGGAAAGAAAAAGAACCAAAGATGGCTCAAAGCAATCCCCCAAGTATTCCTAAAGCCCCTGTCGATAATTATCTCCCCGATCCCCCTGTCCTACTTCTCACCATTAAAGTGGATGAACCCCCTAAAGTAACCCTATTCGATCTGATGACCATAATGAACGCCAGTGTAGAAGAAAATAGGGAAATTAAGTTCCAGTCTGGAGGTATTTGAAAGGTTGCTTAGGTTTCCAATTAAATTCTGTAAAAAATCTAACTGACCAAGCTATTAACCGCATCCATTCTTTAGAGACAACCCAACAATTTGTTACCACAGAAATTGATGAAATTAAAACCGCAGTCCTGTAATATAGAAAATACTTCCATTTCTATTTTAATTTTCCAACCACACATGAATTCCACAAATTTGTTAAACCCCCAATTCAATCTGTCAAATTCCTTCACTCAGACAGAGAGACTAAGTGATGCACACCAGTTCACCGGTAATAAATCTGATCTCCGTCCAGGTAAATTCTTGCAATAATTAAATCAATATTTCATCCATCAAGTTATAGATGATACCCAGAAGATAGGTATTTTTCAACGCTGTTTATGTGCACTTGCAAGAACATGGTTCGATTCATTAGTACCCTGTCTCGATACCTATGTAGAATTAGTCAATCTTTTCCGACAACAATTTTGGACCATGTCCACCCAACAACATGTACATCACAAGTTGTTCTCCCCATATCAATATAAATCTTCTCAAGGATTTCCCTTGGGAAATGACACAGAGGCCCACATATGAATCCGCCGCGCGGCAGTGACTCAAGTCCCCGATAAGCGTTCCCACCGTCCCTGTTTTTTGACTCCATATGTTTCCCCATCACAAACTCCTCTCGAAACAATGCTTGTCACCACACCAATCACCACTCGACCTGGTCTCGAAGTTTTCAACATCCAGTTCAATCAAATAATTAAAAATTTAATTATTAACCTATTATTAATAGGTCTGAATAACAAACTGAGAAAAATAAGTTACGTAAGTAAGTCAATAAATGCTGCTGAACAAAATTATTCTATTACTGAATTAGAGTTAAAATCCATTGTCTATGCTTGTTCTAAATTTTGTATCTTTATAATAGGTTACCCCTTCTATGTACTAACCAACCACCAAGCCCTCATGTTTCTTTTCTGTCGGCTAAGAAAAGCACATGTTACCCGTTGGACATTAGCTCTTCAAGAATTCGATTTAAGAATTCAACATATCCTCGGTCTCATGTTTCTACTTTTCCCAATAATTTGGAAAACCTGGAAAAAATGAAAATAAACTATAAATAACTAATACCATCATGTATAGGTTAACATATTTAAATATTATAAATAATGTAATTTTACGCCAAACATAATGTAGACAAATAATAAATGTTAAAAATGAACGAAATTGCAAACAAATTTAATAATGTAAAACAATTATTCACCATATGAAATCATTGTAAAATTCAAAAAAATAAAGCATATTTTGGCAACTTTGGAACATATCTTATTATTCCAATTTTATTTACTTTTTAATTATTTGATTTTTTTTTTTAAATTTATACAAAAACAACAAATCCATAATTTATGGCACTGATTGTTAAAATTAAAATATATGATGTTATATAAATATAAATATACCTTTGTGTATTTCATATTACTTTTTAATTAATAATTATGAATCCTCCCATAGAATATTTCTAATCGCCTTATTGTGATAATTTAAAGTGTGTATTTGATTAAGATCTGAAAAATGCACAAATAAATGAATTTTTTGACGCTAAGTGAACACAGAACCAATTTATACATGTTTATTAAACAACAGTTTTATTTGAATATTTTAGTGATCATTGCTATACAAATTATACATAGTAGTTGTTTATAGTGAGTAAATAATAAAATAATAAATATTATTGTAGTTTGATCTAAGGGATCTAGAATCTAGCCAACCTTTCATGTACACTTATATGATCCAAGGGGTTTTAATTTACATGGAAAATAGTTGACAGATGGGGATCTAGTTTATCAGGAATCTAAATAAAATATCATCTGATTTTTTGGTTGCTATCACTGGACGCGAACGCATCCCCTAAAAAATTTAAAAATATTTTGTTGGACACACTGTCAATTTGTTGAGTGCCATTCTTTCTTAAGTCTTTCACCCTTCATTTCTGGGACTGGTTTGCGGGTGTGTACTTGTGATCGTAGTATTATTATTTAATAGAAAGTTTCTTCTCTACGTCAAAACGTGGAACATACCAATTTCACATTATAATTAATAATATTGTAACGCCGCCGTCGATATTTGTTTTGATTCGCAGAAGTAAGTATTTTGAAAATGTACATTATTAAGACA